ACAGAGTGAGATTCCAACTCAAAAAAAAAAAAAATTAACTAGTTTGGTGGCCCACACCTGTATCTCAGCTACTTGGGAGGCTGAGGCAGGAGGATTGCCTGAGTCCCGGAAGCTGAGGCTGTAGTGAGCTGTGACTGTACCACTGCACTCCAGCCTGGATGACAGAGCGAGGTCCTGAGTCAAAGAGCAAAAAAGGAAGAAGAAGAGAAAAGAGGGGGTGCTGTTTACAAGGTGGATTTTATTTAACAACCCCTTCCAGTTCGTGAAATGGAGATTTAATGACCCTCCAAAAGCAAATGCTATAACGAAGCCTCCCCCCAATCCCATCTCGGAGCCATCAGACTTACGGAAATGTTCAAGTTACACTATTCAAAAGACTGAACCATGCTTGGCCAATTCAACAGCAAGGAGGAAAACCCTGTGGCTGTGTTCCTTTTTAAACATATTTGGGGCTACCTGTGGGCTATTTGGGCCACAGGTTCCATGGAAGCCCAAACCTCAGCATCACATGAAATCCCCATCTAACCAACCTGCACAGGGACCCTATGAATCTCAAAGAAAAAATGTGAAGTATTCAACAACAGCAATACACTTAAATGTCTATAGGTTAAAAAAATGTTTGGGGGCAACCCCTTCGGGTGCCCTCCCACTGTGGGAGTTTTTCTGGCCTTTCCATAAATTCTGCTTTCTCGTTTTCGGGGGGGAAAAGTGTTTTGGCGCTTCACACGTTTGGTCAGTAAATAGTAACTAATTGTCTAATCTGGAAGGAAAGGAAGGAGGGAGGGGGGAAGAGAGGAAGGAAAGAAGGAAGGAAGGAAGGGAGGAAGGATAAAACTCTAATTTTCTGGAAGTTTCTTATGCCCACAAACCCTCACTCCAAAAAACTTGTCAGAACACAGATTGGCTGGCTTCCTTGTCGACTGCCTGGCGTGGTGCAGGCCGAATCCCTGTGCAGGGTCCCCGGCAGACCCCTGTCCGCCTGGCTCCCCCATGCTCCAGCCCTGTGCCATGCACGCTAGGCTGGGCACCAGCACTGCTCCAGGTGTCTACACAGCTTTTGGGCCTTCGCTGGGGACCAGGCCCCGCCACCATGGGCAGAGGAAAGGGCTTTATATGGCCTGGCTTTTGTTTTGCTTGAGACCTGCGAGGGGCGGGTGGAGGGAGGCCCTCTCTCCAAATCCCCGCTCCAGTGTTCAGCCTGCCAAACTGCACACAGACATGACAGGGATTGTAAAAATGCACCACAGACAATGTAGCTAATGTACCAGGGTCCCCCGCAGAGGAGCCCAAGGGGCGTCAGGAAGCAGCTGGGAGACCAGGGTCAGAACAGAGCACCCTGAAAGGAGCGGCTTTTCTGAGCACTGATCGTACTTCCTCCACGGATCCCATCTCCAAAGAGAAAGGGACAGTGGACAAGAAAAGAAAAAAAAAAAGAAAAAAGACTGGACGCTGGCGATATCCCTAGAATAGCCTGTAAGCAATTCAGGCAGAATTTCTTTACACAATGGATGAGAGAAATATGAACCCGGCTGCCAAAATCAGCAGGACAAGCCAGTCCTGCACATTCAGCTCGAGAGGGGCCTGGACGCATTTCAGAAAGAGCAGAGACTGAAGACTGAGATGCTGACTCCTCGCCTGGGCTGACAGTCACAAAATACAAGTTAATTTGTGGTTCACGAGATCATCCCGAGGACAGATAGGAGCAGAACTACCCCGACCCATCCAGAAGCTTGTGGGCCGTTCTCCCGCCAGACTTAGCACTCACCCTGGTCTAAATTCTGGCGGGAGTATGAGGAACCCTTTCCTAATCAAAGATGTTTTAAATAAATAAGTAGATAGATAGATAGATGTTTTTTAAAAAAGAATCTCAGCCGGGTTCAGCGTCTCAAGCCTGTAATCCCAGCACTTTGGGAGGCCAAAGAGAGAGGATTGCCTGAGCCTTGGGGGTTCGAGACCAGCCTGGGTAACTTGGTGAGACCTCATCTCTACAATAAATCAAAAAATTACCTGGGCATGGTAACACGCACCTGTAGTTCCGGCTGCTTGGAAGGCTGAGGCAGAAGGATCACCTGAGCCCAGCAGGTCAAGGCTGTGGTGGCCGTGAGTGTGCCACTGCACTCCAGCCTGAGCGACAGAGTGAGACTCCAACTCAAAAAAAAAAAAAAAAAAGAATTCCAATGGGTCTTAGAGATCACGTCATCTATTTCTAATGATATAGGTAAGGAACCGACTCCCAGAGAAATCAGACAAAAGGCCCCATGAGTACCAGGGCCAGGAATGAAGCCCAAGCTTCCTGACTCCTAGGACAACAGTCACAACATGTTCAAATGATCGGTGAACATCTTGGAAATCCAGAGTTTTCCCTTTCCTGGGCTCTTCGAGAAGGGCATGGTCAAGTTCATTCTGAGGATGTGCTCGCACTGCTTGAGCTAGAGAACATAAACCAAAATGAAAGTGCCTTTCGGGAGCTCGCTTCACTCAGAAGCGCACAAGAGGGGTTGGGCTGTGACCCAGCTGACTGGGACGACGTCTAACATTTCTGTTCTGAAATGCCATTGTTCACATGTTTTCTTGAATCTCCCTTTAGCATGGAAGTCGCAGAGGGCTCACCACCGTCCTCTGTCCGGAAATGGCTATAGGACATGGGATGGATTTGGAGCTGAGGACCCGGGACAGGGGAAGGAAACACGAGAGAAAACGGAGTCATGAGGCCTAGAGAAGAAAACTGGCCCCTCTGAAGAAGACACCGAGCCAGACAGTGGACTGCATGTGAGTTGCCGAATGTGAAACTCCGGGAACAGGTGTTTTCCTAAACTCAAGCCAGCTATGCCATGCTCAGAAGGAATCTGCTCCCTTCACACAGTTTTCGACTCACGAAATACTGAAATGCAGTCTCGGGATGAGAGGTGACCTTAGAAAGGTTTAGAAAGCAGACACTGAACTCCGGATATCCCCAGTTCTGTCGCGACGTGTCTGCTTGGGGACTGACCCAGAGGCCCGCTGGGGACCTCACCTCAGTTCATGTGGTTCATTTTAAAGAGGAATAACAATGTAAATGTCACAAAGTAAGAATGACATCACTGAAGTCTTGATTTCTCTATTTCCTGACCTGCTTCTAAAAAAAAAAAAAAAAAAGTAAAGGTGGTTTTAAATGAGCTTCAATCTAGACACTCAATAGTTATTTGTTTAAAAAAAAATGACAGATGTGCTTAAGTCCAAAATTCTTACTTCTTCAGCTTCCACTGTGAGATGTGTAAGAGTTTTTAAATAGTAAAACTGTTCAATGACTTTGGAGTTTATTCTCTTCTATTATGTTGGATTTTTGAAAGTTTTAAAGAAATAAACCAAATCCCCAGATATTTCTCCAAAACCCCATGGATTTCTCAAATGCTCTCCTATAGATGAGCTAATGCAACTATTTCAAAAGTGAAGCAAAACAGATTGAAAATTAATGAGGGTCACAACTCACTCAAAAATATTTTAGCAATATTTTGGATCTACAATCTTGTTCTACTTTTCTAGGTCAACTCTCTTCAGTGTTACCCTTCTACTGTGTCTTACATTTTTTTTAAGGAGGAAAAAAAGAAAACCATTGCAGCCATGAAAACATATGATAACATTCTAAAGAAACCTAATCATTGCTATCATATACATAAATATATATACGTGTTAAAGCTTGTGTATCACCTTCTAGAAACATCTTAGAAGGTTAAATCAATGTGCACGTTGATGAAATGACATTTCTCTGAAGAAGGAACAGAATGAAACGTACCATGATAGTTTCCACACCTAAAACAAAACGCAGTGAGGTACCGACTTTGGGATTTTTCTGCGACTTTGGGATTTTTCTGCGTGGCCCCCTCCCCTCTTCCCGCCCCAAGAATGTCAAGAATTTGAACTCCCTGTTCTTAAGGTGAAAGGGCATTAACTCAAATCTGTTCATGGAGAAAAGAGGTGGCAACTCCTGAGACCTTGGAACTGCACAGCAAAATCTTCCAAGTTTAGTATGGCCACAGACGGTTCTTTCCTTTGGCGCTTCGAAAGTGACTGGGAACAGCGTTCGAATTGTAGATCATGAATTAGGAGCCAGAGAGATCTCTGTTCGCATCTCAGTAATTCTCCACTCCTTTATTTCAACATGTAGCTTTAGGTTTAAAATATTTGCTAAGAAAGCAGAGAGGCGATTGACAGAATATTTTTTTTCCAATGTGTGCCATAGTTACACATTCTGTTGACAGTAGACGGAAACTATACAGTGTAAGTTACAAAATGGTGATTTCATGTTTCGAAAACATTCCAGTAAACCCTTCACTGGGGCGTGACTCAATTCGACAGGAGAAAAGCGAAACAGAAATGAATGCAAGAGCAGCCCAGCTCAGGCACATCTTGAAGACAACCTCAAGGAATCGCCAGCCGCGGTTGGCGCCTGTGAATCTCAGGTGAGGACGTCTCCCCACATCTCCTTCGAGAAGACTGTCTACCCCAGGTGCACAAGGGAAGCAGAAAGACACACTGCAGCACGCTAGGAGACCCCAGAAGTTACTCCCTCCCCAGCATGAATTCCTGGGCTGTCTGGAGAACTCCAAATATCCCCAGCTCCCCATCCACCCCCACAAAAATAGGTGCTGACTATCTGGGGTTAGCGTTGTCATCTAGTGGATAACCTCACGTCTGGTGGTATGTGGTTGCTGTTTTTAAACTCCTTTTTCTTACATTAGCTAGAGCTACCAGATTCTCTAAGAGCTCGGCCACCACTTGGATACGATGTTATTTTGTTGCTTTAAAATACTGTAACTTTATTATTATTTTTATAATATTATTCCAACAGACTGTATTAAAGGCAGTGATCACTAACACAGAACATGACAGGGCTAACAGCCAGGCTGCTTGCAGGGCATGGCCTGTCTGGCCAGGGTCGCCGACATGCGGGTCTGGAGTTCATACACTGCGACCCTCAGCTCAGGCTGCAGGAGGAGGGAGAAGACGGATTCGGCCGGACCCTTAGAAGCTACTGAATAAATATCATCCAAAAACAAAATGGAAAAACAAACCCTCCAAAGCACAACCACCTTAGGTCAACTGAATGTAGTCTAGTTTATTCAACCAAAAAATTGAGAGAGAAGGAAAATATTGAAACAAACAAGAAAAAAAGCAGTTCTTAACACTAGCAGTAAATAAATTTGTACAACAATTCAGTCTGTATAATATGATGAAATAAATCTACATCTTATTTTGGTGCTTTGAATTATACATACAAACAACAATTACAGGGACTTGTTCACAAAGCATGTAGGCCTAGAAAAAGGCTATCTGAACCCCTCGAGCGGCAATCGGTGAATGTGAAACACCTATTGCCCCGAACTGGTATTTCCTTTACAGAGGCCCACAGCTTAGGAACGAATGATTTGCCTACCACTTTTTTTCTTTTTTTTTTTTCTTTTTTCTTTTTTTTTCTTTTAATGCATCAAACAACTGTGGCCAGTGAAAGGAAACAAAACTGGCAGTTTGTCCATTTGGATATCAGACCTAGTCTCTTCTTAATTTCCACACTTATTTTCCCCACATTCCTTAAACTTCTCGGCATCTTTCATGCCTCACAGCTACCCAGATGCAATAAAGTCTTCCTCAAATGTACAGTATTTTTCTTACAATATAAGTTATATGCAACGTTCAGCATTTTTTTTTTCACAGCACTAGAGACCCTGTTAAATAAGGGATGTGAGTCTGAATGGCTTATTCACAAATGGGACCCGGGTTCAGTGGTCGGAACACAGACACCACAGTGAGCTCCTTTTGCAAAGTGGCGAACATCATTTTGCTTTCTGCCTTCAAAAACACAGGTATCCGTCGCAGGTGGGTTTCATGATACTGCTCCTGCAAACACGTGAGTCGGAGGGGCCGCGGGGACCCTCGCCGGGGGCCCCCGGAGCCTCGAGCAGCGCTCTAACCCATGGCGGTGACCATACTGGAGGGGTGGTGAGGTCCGAAGGACAAGCCGGACGGCGGGTGCATCGGCGTGGGCGTGGTCAGCATGTGGCTGGAGTGGCTGAAGGGCGAGATGTGGCTGAGGGATGACATGTGTCTGGACAGGGCGGCCGGGTTAAAGGAGCTGTTCTTGGGGAAGTCCTCCAGGGAGTCGTGCACCTTTTTGCACTTTTTGGATTTGCTCGACATCTTCCGGTTTCTGGTCTGGATGCCTTCCTTCTTCATAGTCAGGGGTCTGTTAATCTAAACACAGATAAATTTTTTTTTTTTTTACTTTTTTGCTGCCTCTGAGATGTCCCATCGGCCGCCCCACATCGGGGATCCGTTTCAATGTCAGCCGACATCCTCTTCCCTCCCACCTCCCGCCTCCTTCCTGGGAACTCAGAGACTAAGGATCAATGCAGGCACCCGTCGGAGACCCACCCAGCACCATCGTATTTCTCCGGCAACTATAAGTTAGAATAACTTGTCTTATTTCTTTCGAGATTCCCTTAGACCGTTTCAGGAGAAGGGAGGCTGCCGAGGAATCTTCTAGAGGGACATATCATTTTGTCTACTCATCTGACAAATCTGTGTTAGAGCCTTAAAAGCACTTAAAAGGTCATCAGTCTTGAGGTGTTTAAGAGGCTACCTGCCTCCGAGAAATGGAGATGGCACGGCTCTGCTGGGTAATTTTGGGTGGCCTCCCTTCGACCTGGCCTTCTCACAAGGAGAGGTGCCGTGAAATCTTCCCCTGGAATGTACAGGTTCTGGGGTTGCGTTTTAAGAAACGGTGCCTTTCCAAGAGGTAAAGCCTTCCTGGATCATGCCAACAGCAGCTGCAGTGGCAGAAAGTTGCTATTTCTACCTAGTTCTGACTCAGCACTAACAACTCGACAGCCACATGGCTAATTAGCAAGTATTCAATAACCCTCTTATGGGGTGCCAAGCTCTGTGTTAGCCCACACAGACACTCACCCTAAAACTTAAAGAATAAGCCAAGCTGGGCTCAGTGGCTCAGCCTGTAATCCCACGCCTTTGGGAGGCTGAGGTGAGTGGATTGCCTGAGCCCATGGGTTCGAGACCCGCCTGGGCAGCAAGACCTCATCTCTACAATAAATCAAAATATCAGCCGGGCGTGGTAGCGCATGCCTGTAATTCTGGCTACTTGGAAGGCTGAGGCGGAAGGATCGCCGGAGCCCAGCAGGTCGAGGCCGCGGTGGCCGGGAGCGGCCACTGCACTCCAGTCTGGGCGACAGAGTGAGACTCCAACTCAAAAAAAAAAAAGAATAAGCCAGAGCAAAGAGACAGCATCTAGATCCCACTTTCAAGAGCACTGGGCTCCTCCAGCCTCTGAGACAGCGACCATCTCTCTTTTCTGGATAAACCTCACTTGTCTTTTCTAAATGCATTTGCTTTGGGGGCCCACAAACAGGAAAGGAAACTTTACAAAGCAAACAGGGCAGCTCCCAGGTTAACCTCAACTGCAGTCATCTGCCCTGAATCAAAAACCACACATCTGGCCATGTTCCCAGGAAAAGGTGGGAGACTCAGGGAGGGGATGTCAGGGTCCCTCAGTCCTTCTTGACCTTCTAGGGAGAAAACATTCCCTTCTACCAGGATTTTCAAGGGTAGAGGACCCTTGGGGCAACCTTGTCTAGTCCCAAAGTTAGAAATTGACAGTGAAGAAACAGAAAATCCAAGTCAGGCATGGTGACTCAAGCCTGTAATCCCAGTACTTTGGGAGGCCGAGGGAGGAGGGTTACTTGAGCCCAAGAGTTCAAGACCAGTCTGGGCAGCACAGCAAGACATCATCTCTACAAAAAAAGTCAAAAAATTAGCCAGGCTTGGTGGCACACACCTGCCATCCCAGTTACTTGAGAGACTGAGACCAGAGGATCGCCTGGGCCCAGGAGGTCAAGACTGTGGTGAGCCAGGACCGTGCCACTGCACTCCAGTCTAGGCAACCGAGTGAGACCCCAGCTCAAAAGTAAATAAATACATAAATACATGTATACATAAATACATAAAGTTAAATGGTCAAGAGAAACCAAGCTGCTGAGAGCAACCCACACACAGCTTCTTGGGAAAGGTCACTGGAGATGGGGACAGAGCCCCACCCTGGAGCCGAGACCTTATTTTCCCCCGTGCCAGGCAGGCAGTGTGCCTGACAGCAAAGGAGCCGAGAAAGGTCATTGCCAGAGGAACGTCTCAGGGTTCCTTCTTCAAAGTTATCATCAGATAAGATGCAGCCCTACAGAGATGACAGGCATCTCCTCCCACATCAAATCTTCCCCGAGATCATGTCTAGATACACAGCTTTGGCCGCTGATACTAGATATACATAGCCAGATATCTAAATATAATATCTAGTTACACAGATAGCCACACAACCCTAGATAACCAGTCACAACACCACCTAGATACGCTGATACTGAGATAGCCAGTTATCTAAACACCTAGATAAGGAGAAAGAACTTATGGCGTCCACGTATAGATGTCTGGATGGGTAGAGCCAAGCACAACACAACAAAAACGTTAATAGATGATTATCTCTTATTTTTGAAGACACACACACCGCCTCCTTTTACAAATTCCTACTAAACCCGAGAAGACAGCAAAACTACTCTTGGGGGACGTGGGAAGTTTCTCTCTTCGAGTCACTAGAGTCCTGTCATCAAGACAGCTTGAAACGAACAGGGAAGGAGTGAACAGCGGGGAGATTCCTTGGCTGTCTTTTTCATTTGAGAAACTCATTTTCTTCAGAAATATTTAGGTTGGACACAAGTGAGATCATATGTGATCACAGCTAACTATTCAAGAAAATTTACAGTTAGTTAATTTTTTCCCATAATGCCTATGGTCTCGTGGAAATAAGACACAGTTTTGTTATAGCCTAAAATAAGAGTCTGTTTACTTTCCAGTGGTTCTCCTACTAGTCCTGACACCACCGACCTCCCAGAAAAACGCCTTCTGATGTCTGAAATCGGTCCTGTCTTCTGTTTTATCAGCCACGTTGCTTTGCACAAGTGACTTGATTCTCTGAGTCATAATTTCTTCAAGTAAAACTGAAATAAAAATAATTTCTGCCCTGCCTACACCATGGGACTATCTGAGGCCCAAATGTAATCAAGTAGCATGAAAGTTCTTTTAAAGTCATAAATTACAGCCCCAAAAGAACTTCAGGGCTGATGACTGGAGAGCTGATAAACTCAAATGCCCCGAATCTTCTGGATTTTAATCACAAATCTCTATCTCTATTGCAGTCAGCAAGTTAATTCCCCAAAGTGAAAACAGAACTTGGATTTCATTGCTGATAAATGGACACACAGCCCAGTCCCAGGATCTGAGGGAATATGAGGGATCGTAGTAAGACCCTAGTTTCATGAGTGCCGGGTGCTACATAGGAACTGTGGCAAGAGAGGTTGACATCACAAGCGAGAGCACAGGGTCCCTTGGAATCACAGGGAAAAAAGAATCGGGTGCTGGGGACCCTGAACATTTCTTTATGACTCAAGACATCTAACCAGAAAAGCTTCCTCCCCAATTCCCAGGTATTCCTGAGTAAAATGAGTTCACTGCCAAAATGGCCCCCAGCAAAAGTCTCCGCCTCCTCAAAGTCCAGCCAAGAGAGACTTTAGGAGAATCAGAAAGAGCTACAAAGGAAAGAGAGAAAGACAGGCCGCAAGAGAGAAATGATCATTTTTTCTTTGGGATTAATGTAAACTTGAAACCTCATTAGCGTCATGGCTCTATAGCCAGAATCATTTCGGGGGGGGGGGGGGGGGGA